CGTTCAAAATGTCCTCCTCCTTTGTCAAAACACATTTCAATTCTGTGCCTGCAGGATTCATTAAAACGTCAGAGAAATGTCTCTGTCATTTTACAGCATTTATATTTAATTCTTTCCTCAATATTTCTTGGGCGCGTCTGATAAACAACTGATTTCAAATGGTCCCACAGAAAAAAATCCAAGGGTGTGAGGTCCGGTGAGATCGGTGACCGCTGAACAGGTCTTCTTCGACCTATCCATTCACCCCTATTGCCTCACCCTGTATATATCTCGAAGAGCAAGAGTGAGAGCGAGGCCTCACTTTCTTTGTAGCAGACAGTCTCCCTGATTAGTTCTTTGGTGGTTAGAGTGGAGTGTACCAGTCTGCCCCACATTCTAGCGAATGGGAAGAGAGAACTGACCTCGAAAAGCTCTTTTCCTGTGTTTATATTGAGGTTGAGGAGTATGGCGAGTGCGATAGGATTATCTTCCGCTTTGGTACTTTTGTTTTGCTTTTCCAATTATCTGGTTTCAGAAACGAAGTTGACTGATTGACCAGTCCTTAAGAATGCTGGTGTTAATGTCAAGGAGGGGTTAAGCAAATAATAAGTTATACTTCAAGGGATTTAAGAAATATTATTATCATTTTATTTATGAAACTTAGCATACTACTACATATATTTCAGCAGTGAGAATAAGTTATATAATTCTTTTTAATATATATATATATATATATATATATATATATATATATATATATATATATATATATAATTTTAGTAAGTAAAATGGTTTTTGTCTATATGATAAAATTATAATAAATAAATAATTATCGCTCTACTATCGGTATCGAGCCCTCTTTTGGATTAATGCTGTGAACATTGGAATTTATATATTACTTTCGTTCTTATCGCATCGGATATATATATATATATATATATATATATATATATATATATATATATATATATATATATATCCAGACTGTTTCGCTGTATCACAACTCATCAGTGTGGCTAGATGTCCGGTTGCCTTTAGCTAGCATCGAAATCCGGCTGAATTAGCGTCAGTCGGATATTCTACTCCTAAGACGTTGGCGCACGGCAGAGATGAAGGAGAATTTAAGCGTATTTATTTTTAGATAATTATACAGTGACTGAGAGAACTTGATTCGTTTTACCGAAGAGTCTTGAATTATTAGCAGTAATAGTCACTGTTTACAAATTCACAATTCCTCCCCCGTGAGCTCAACCGAAATAAATTTTTAGGAGCATATATAGTGTCATCTACAGACAGACTGTTTCGGTTTATATATATATATATATATATATATATATTACTTAAATGTTATTTTTATTAGATACTCATATTTGAGTAGATGCACCGTTTATTTATTAAACACTATTTTTTTTTTTTTCGTCTACCGGCCTGAATATTCGAGAAATCTTATGAAAGAAAAATATGCGCTCTCCGACAGGATTCAAACATGCGTTTCCCTAAGGGAAACCTCATTACATTCGACTTCCTTTGACCTCAACACCGTGTGATAACAATTTGTTTCATGTGTGAACGCAATCGTCAGGCCATATATGTTGTGTTGTAGCTCGACTATTTATATATGCTGGTCAATGAACCATTATTTGTAGCAAGTTCAGGTATATCTTGCTTATTGTGTTATCCTGACGTTTATTGGGGAACGGTTATATTTTAAATTATTCTAAAGGTCATTGAGTAGAAATTGTTATGGGCCGGTTATTTTATTGCAATTGTATAAGGCTATTTTTTAATTCTTATTTGTAAACACGCTCCATCCCTGATACTGGGCACTTTTATCCATAAATATAGCATAACTTAAAACTATGTTTTATCACAGATATATTGTTATTATTATAATTATTTCGAACGTTATTTTTACGATAAGCTACCGGTGTGCTTTGACCGCTCGTCTAATGACAGCTTCACAGGCAAGCAAGGTTCTTATTTGCTCTTAATGCACATTCACGCATTCAGATTTTCTAAGTCGTGATTGAAGTTTTTGGATCGACCTATTTCCAAAATTCTTAGCAAATTAACATTTTTTATTCACTAGATTTTTTTGAAACACGCTGACACGTGTTCAAATCCTCACAACAGAATTTAGTATTGTTGAAGTTATCGCTTCCTCTGCCAATTTGAAACTCTCGCTACTGTGTTTTATATTTAGAGTGCTACTATTGTGCATTATCTTTTACCAGAATTAAATATATATAAAAAACATAAAGAAAAAAATATACAAAAAACAATATTACATTTTTATTAATTAAGTATTTATTTTAATCATTAAATTGTTTTTAAAATAATGGAAGTATTTTGTATGTTATATAATAAAACTTTTAATTTTTCACAAAAAAATTCATGAAAATTTCTTGTACTAAGCTATACACCCTAGTAAAACCAACTGTACTTTGTATCCCCTTACCTATTTGCACTTTTCCCCAAAATTTGGTTTCCATTGGGGATGTATGGCTATTTTAGAGGGAATGACGGACAGACGGAAGTCACATAAATTTATATATAGATTTTTTAATTTTATCAATTTATTTTGTTTATTTTATTTATTTTATTTTTATTTTATTTTATTTTTTTATTTTTGAAGGACTTCTTGGTATTTTTACCATTTCCTACAAGATATATATGCGTCTATATGAATAGATCAGAAAAGAAAAAATGTCTTGCAGTTTCATACCAGCATAACTAGATATTTAACTACTCTGGCGCCGTTAACGGAAAACCTTGCGAGAAATTTCTTTGTTCTGAATGAATTAGATAGTGAAGTGGCAATGAATTAAATGGTGATTCAAGACAATTCACATATGGTGATAAAGACAGTGAAAGCAATGACTGTCCCGGAGAGAACAAGAATACAAAAATATATATAAAAACGAACACCTGGCATCTGGATATATTTGTATGGTGTCACATCAGTGAAATATCTCTGCAGCCTACTCTAAAGTGTCAGCTAGCAATAAACTCTTGCAAACAATTGCCAGTAATTTGAATTTCTGCTTGTTACTCTACTACTGCGGCTTTGTGATTGAGAAAATGTCTGTATTTCGTTTCTATCTTGAAAGAAAGTTTCTTTAAATGCACCACAAAGGCCGCCCTTAAGATTGGTGTAATTTCCTATTTAAGGAATTTTTAATTATTTTCAATTAAACAATTCACGGTAGACCACTGTATAATTAACCAAATTCAAACGATATTTAATACTCAAAGTTAGCTTTACTTGTATTCCGACTAATCCCTAATCAACAGGAATCTAAATGATTTTTAAATATACATGTTTCCAATATAGAAAGATTATTGTTTTTAATAACCCGTGGAAATCTTCAGGATTTAACACAGGAAAAACAATAAAAAGATTAATACTTTTATATAAAATGATGATACTTATTTATTTTACACAAAATTTTTTCTCTGTAAAAATATGTCAGTATTTTTCCTTTTATAAAATAGAATTATCATTATTTGATGAGTATCATTATTTCACGCAGTATTAGTAATCTTTTCAATATTTATATGATGTTCTTTTCAGTTCATGTAATAAGCACACACACGTACAAAAATCGGATCATTATTACCGGGGCAAGCGCGACCATAGACCTCTACTAGTCAAATTAAGTTGCAAATTAGACTATAAAATGCTTTATACTTCGAGGTTTAATAGTATTTTGATAGTATGATCCTAGCAAAAATCACGCTACAGTATGCCATCTTTTCTGTGTTAAGGTAACAAACACACACATGCTCAAACAGAAATCGAATCATTATTATACATTAGTAAGCTAGTCTTGGAGGCACGGTGGAGTAATGAATTGCAGCTCGGATATTAAGTATTTGAATTCCAGTCATTACATTCACTTACGTGCTAATGCCCTTGGGAAAGGTATGAATCCATCTCTTCTCCTCCCCCTTCTATGGATAAATAGCAGGACAGACTTTTCTTGGCCGGCAACCGGTCTAGGAGAGAAAGAAAACTTTGAATTTAAACCTCCAACTATGGATAAATAATAGGACAGTTCTGGCTCTGTAGCCATGGTTGCTAATCCAGACTAGGAGAAGGAAAACTCTGAATTCAAAATGCCTGTTCCTTGGTTTGAGTCGGTAAGTTCGAGGTGCAAACGATTTTATTAGACTAACGAAAATACAGTGTGGGTGGAGAGGTTCTTTGTAGCCAGTGGGAGAGACAATATGGTTTCTTGCTGTTTTTGACAGTTCATTTTTATTTTACTTTATTTATTAGCACAGATGGAGAGAACCATATTTCTTATAAAGGATATCATTTCATGATGGATTGTGTCTTGACTTTTATTACATACATACATACATATATACGTACATAATCCGGGCAGATATGCACTGGAAGTCTCGCATTGCTCTGCAGGGCGCGCATCATTAAAATAAGTCACCTGGATTTTGTGGCACGGATCTCAAATTACCGAACTGGCCAAGCAGAACTGAGTTGTGATCTGCCTCGTGGCTGAGATAGTGGCGTTACTTGTTTCAAATTCAGGTATACACTACGATTAGGAATGCTGAGTTTCTGCGCAGGCAGGCCTTCACGTAGAAAACTGATGTAACGAAGTGGAGATAATTGCTGATTAAAATATAACACGAAATTTGAATCTTCATTGCATAGCATATTATTCACTCTAATATGTATTCATATAAAACAATACTATGGGCACCTCGGCGTAGTCTAATGGTTCGCAAGGTTGCCTCGCTAGATCAGTTATGACTGAAAAGTGAGTTCGATCCTCACTAGGTGCCCCATACTTTCGGCCTTGTGCCACATCTAAGCTACGCTTAGAAAATAACCATATAAAATTATGCTTATTTTTTGGCAACGGAATATTACATTAACAATTTCCTTAGAGATTTTTTTAGATACAAGTCCTAATATTTAACCCATAGAACGGGATACCTGATGTCGAACTTTCCGATTTCTCATTCCGGCATGTTACACCACCAGCACGTGCAAGCTGACAGTAACCGGTATTTCCAAGCAGTCACCCGTCTAGGTACTGATCAGGTTCGACGTTGCTTAACTTCGGTGAACGGGCGAGAACTGGTGTTCCAACGTGATACGGCTGTAATCCATTTTATCTGAAGTTTCTATGAACAGACTTAAAAAAATAAAATAAAAAATTAAACCGTTCTCTTTTTTTTTCATTTTGGAATAATTTTTTGGTTACTGCCTTACAATAATCAGTCAACTGTATCTCGGAGAAATTCACCTACTCAGAACTACAGGTTACAATTACATATTTCTATTTCATCTAACAAATAGGACTTACGAATTTCAATTGAGAAGTGCAGCTTGAAATAATTAAAACGGATATTTTCTCATCACATTGTAAAAAAGTTGTTACGTTGTTTTAAAACATTATTATTATTGTTATTTTTATCTTATTTCCTTTGGTTTCTGGTTTATATTCATTTTTTCCGGGTCCCAACCAGAGACCTAAGGTCAGAAATGGCATCATAAACGTGTGAGCTGTACTTGCGAGTATAACTTTTTTTTTTAATTATTATTACTTTTAGGCTTGGGCTGCCAGAAATCCTTTCAATGGGTCCATTGGGATCTTTTCCAATCAATCTGAGGGCTCCAACTACAAGTAAAATTATTGATGTCTCCTCATCTGCTACATTTTTGAGATTTCGATTTCCAGTTCCTTGTATTTTTATAGTTTTTTTGAAGATCTTGAAAGATACATTATGACTGGAGATTATTATTATTATTATTATCATCATCATTATTACTTCCTTTGATTTCTACTGTATATATATATTACCTTTGGGTCCCTATCAGAGACCAAAGGTCAGATATTACTTCATGATATTTTCCAGTGATCATTTAAGATCACAGACATTTTACATAGATAAAGCTCTTCTTCTTCTTCTTCTTCTTCTTCTTCTTCTTCTTCTTCTTCTTCTCTTCTTCCTCCTCCTCTTCTTCTTCTTCTTCTTCTTCTTCTTCGCACATGACGTAGTCAATGGAAATGCTGTTCTCGAGGCATGCTGTCAACAAAACTCCTCACAACTCATGAATCTTTGGGAATATCCTAGCAGAATTACTACAGGAATTACTTCAACTGTTATGTTCCATAGTTTTTTCAACTCGCTAGCCGGATCCTGATATTTTAAAATCTTTTTAGTTTCTTTAGAAACCACTCTTGTATCGTATGAACAACAAAGCCAATTTGATACTTGCTATTCTCCTTATCTATAACAACAAAGTCGGATCTTGTTTTATTAACATGATCCGTCTGAAACGAGAAATCTCATATGACATTATTATTATTATTATTATTATTATTATTATTATGTTGGTGTCGCACATTGATGTAGTCAATGAAAATTCTGTTCTTAAGGCATGATATCAACAAAACTTCGGTGAGTCCTCGCAGAGTAAATGATAGCAATTTTCTGGTGGTCTACAATCTTCCAAATTATCTGAAGCACTCTTTCAATTTTCTACGTGATATTTCAATTAGTATTATTATTATAAAACATTTCTTTTTGTCCTGCATTTGCCGGGTAATAACCAATGACCAACGGGCAAGCGAAGGATGTTAGACCGCTGCTAACAAAAGAAAACAATTAATCAAAGCTCTTTGCAGAATATGGGCTGTGCTTGTTAGAACTATTTTGGGGGATTTCCTGAGAGATAGCGCACCAGAGATTTTGTTGATTTGTTGTTGAGTTCCTTTCTTTATCAGTCACAAAGCTCCAACCACGACAGGAAGAGTTTTACTTTTTAAGTGCTGCATTTATTTCTATTTCCATCTCCAGGTCTTTGTATTTTTTTCAAAAACCCTCGCAGAGTTGCCTTTGGCACTTGGCACGCTCATATCAATCAGTATAGAAACTTTTTCTTTTCTGCCCTTGATAATAACACTTGGGCGATTTACTTGTACTTTTTGATCTGTGCTGATAGAAAAATCCCAGAGTATGGTAACATTTTCTCTCTCAATAATGTTCATACCGGTTTGCAGCTGTTTTTAATCCATAGTGATGACAGATCTTCTAATGTAGATATTGACCTACCCTGTCATTAGGTTTTTGTACTCATTAGTTCTGAGGAACCCGAGATAAGGTGATCAATAGTTTCAATGTATTGGTCACAGAACCTACATTTTGGGTCCGTACAATATGTTAGCATGTAAGCAGGCGATGATCCTGTGCAGCCAAAATAAATTCTTCATCCTCACCTTTCTTCTTCTTCTTCTTCTTCTTCTTATTATTATTATTATTATTATTATTATTATTATTTTCCCTTTTTGTTTTGTATACTATTAGTTTCCTCCAACTCTGAATCAGATGTTTCAAGAGACAACAAGCTTTTTGCATTAGAAAATGCAGGCAGACGATGCTTCATATAATCAGAAATGTACTTGTGGCGATTGCATGAAGAGAAATCTACACAAGCAGTAAGAAGTGCCCATGAATATGAATTTTTGCAATCCACACATTTTAGGGCCGCCAGGAATTTGATCTACATATTTGCTTGCTTCTTTTGATATCATTCTCAAGGCCCCAATAACAACAGGTAATGGTGTCTTCTTCAGATAACACATTCTAGTGATTTCTATGTCAATGTCCTTGTATTTCTCAAAAGGTTTCAAAGAAATTGAATGTTATAACATCTATCAGAAGACGTGTTTGCAACATGATTTTTCACAAGTGTGAGGTGCCTATGGATATTGAGCAATAATAAAGACTTGTGATATTACTTTGCTTACCACTAAAGAATGATGAGACAAATTCAATATTAAAAATTCTAGTAAATAAACCTAAATAAAAACTTATAAGACTTGTATATAAACTTGCATTAATTCGATGAACCTTTCATCACTTCAGCCATGCAGAATGTGTATCCAACAGGTTTTTCTTGCTCGGTGAAATCAACACATTGCAATACACATGTAGTTTTACACAAAACTACAAGGAAAATAATAATAATAATAATAATAATAATAATAATAATAATAATAATAATAATAATAATGCTTGCTAACTAGAAATTACCAAGCAAATATACTAAAAAATTGTGTTAACCCGAAATCCAGACACATTGGCCATCTTGTATTAGGCTGCACAGTGTTGGCACTTACTAAATATAGAATTCGACATGATAGAATGGGCCTATAACTCACTGAAGGGATTCCTGGTAACTCATGCCTTAAAGAAATGAAATAATTGTACTCACAATACAATTCACACATTACGAAGGGCTTTATCTATTTAAATTGTATGTGATTTAAGGGTTTTATTTTTTTCCAAAAATAATCAGTGAAAAATACCATGAAGCTCTTTCTGACCTTTAGTGCCTGGTTGGGACCCGGAAGGAAATGTTTATACAACAGAACTCAAAGAAAATAATAATAATAATAATAATAATAATAATAATAATAATAATAATAATAAATTATTGAAATAATGTTCTGATTTTGTCATTTAATTTTATGTTGAGTGTTAAATATTTTCTGTTTTGTGGAAGCAATTGTAATAATGAATGTATCACCCTACTAATAGTCATACATGGCGTTTAAGAATACATTTGGAGAACAGTAATATAGCTAGGTTTTTTCATGGTAGTACTAGCGTACACAGTGGATAAAACTCAAAGGAAAAATTTGGTACTTGGTTGGCCTGTTCTATCCCAGCCACAATATTTACCTGACCTTGTGCCAACCTATTATTGCTTTCTTCAATCGCTGCAAAACGCTTTGATGTGAAAATTTTTTCTTCTAATGAAAACCAGATTCAAAAGAGTTCATTTTCACGTCAAAACCTGCAGAATTTTAGTCAAAAGGTTTCGAAGCGTTGATTTGTCTGTTTAACGGCATATCAACTCCTCATGGGCCATTTAATGCCGAAATTTAATTTTCTTGGAATCATGGAAGTAATAAAAATATATGTTTTCAAAACTGTGTGTACTCAGCTTTTGTGTATAAAGATGATTTGTGTGGACATGATTACTAGAAGTAGTAATGTGTATTCTGTGCTTTGTTGAAGTTATATTTTAGAAAACAGTTTGATTTAAGAAACTGTAGGATATTCTATGGATTAATGTCATGAAAGTTATTTCATGTTGATTGGTTGTTTGGTAATATTTTAAACGGATTTGGTGAAGTCTTTAAATTTGTTAGTATGTGCGTATTGCTTGAATTTTTATATAAAAATATATTATTGGTATTTTTACTATAAAAATGTATTTTTATACTTTCATAATGCTTGTTTTTTGTTTGGGAGTTCAATATTTGCCCATAGCTGGGACCCTAACAGGTGCTACCACCCCGTGTCAGGGTGGACCTGGGAAGAACAGCAATTAAGCGGTAGTTCCTCCAATATCCCGATCAGAGGCCTTGCTGCCGGATGTAATTTATCGTCCTACCAAGTACATAGCTGCCTGATAAATAGCGACAAGTCACTTCAAATAATGGCGAATATATAATTGGACAAAATGGAATTTTGTACATTATGCTTTAAAGAATAACGCTGATAAAAACTGAAGCAAATTACAACTCAACCTAATAGTGTTTTACTGACTTCCAGATGAAGCCGGAGTTTGCTGTCAGTGTGATATCAGGTGCATCTGCAAATTGATCTGAGAGATGATCTTCCAGCCACCAAGTGCAGATCCGCGCCTTACGGAATATCAGTGGCTAGCACCGACAGGTAAACATGTGGTTGACCCAGCTATGCCTAGTGTGTTCACGCGTGGGAAAAACCTGTATGACATACATATTCCCAGAGAGAAGAGGCCCTAAGTTATATCCGCACGAAAATGTGGGGGTCTACGTCCAGAGAGCGCCTCTGAGCCACACACCGCTACTGTCCGAGGCTAATTGACAAAGTCGGTAGTTGAATGAAATACACTGTTACGAATGTCAGACGGCAACGTTACAAATTAAAACCATAGACGGAAATAGAAAAACTCGAATTCCGACTATCTAGCGCAATGGAGGAGTGCACTCTACAGATATCTGATAACCTCTACTTCCCTTTTCTCTACTTTTAGATTCTCTCATTCTGTGTACTTTAAATTGGGAAAGAACCGTTGGCCTTCGAGACCAACGTACAAATCG